AGAAATTGAATGTTGTTATTATACTGTACATTCTTTAATCCAAGTTTGTCCAGTTCGTCATCTTGACAGAGAGTCAAGCTGCTTTTAAATTTAGGTTTATATAAGCTTCAGCTTACTTCGTTGAAGAAACAAACAAACGAACAAGAAAACAGTAGAAACACAGAGGATCGTAATGGATTAAGACCAGAAAGGTGGACAAAAATGAAAGGAAAAAGTTAAASGAATTTTTAAGGGCTTACCAGTWGGGTTGTTGGCGGCCATGTTTTGATGTCGAAAAGAACTTGAAAACGTGTAGGATTATTATTGAATATATATACAAAATTTAATCTTGAAAACTATGATATTAAATATTCTAAACGATTTAAATATATAAAGATTTGCTAGAAGTTTTTAGAACTTGGAATGCGCTACCAGTAAAACGACGCTTAAGGCTGGTGCCTACTAATTGCGAACCATTTTTATTTTTTTCAAATTGTGCCAGTCATATAAATCACCCAAGAGGCCACTGRAATCCGAAAAAAAATTGGGGGTACCCACGCATCTAAGCGAGATAATTGATGTTAAACACCGATGACGTAAGCACTTTTTTACGCAAGGGGAAAAAATCATATTGAAGTTGTTTTGATCGATTTTATCTGAAACTTGTTTCAAATAAACGACTATTTGTGCTCTTTATATTAAATATATAAAATTTATGTATCATATAAGAAACCATTTTTTTAACCAAATTTTGCCTTCAAAAGTGTAAAATATACATGGTTCTAAAGGGATGCTACATTTTTGCCTACAATTGCATCCAAAACCATTTTTATTTTAAAAATTCTATTATAAAAAATAATTTAACTATTTCTGTTACATTTTGGACGAAAAAATATGGGGGGTACCCACGCGTTTTAAAAAGTTATGATTTTTAAAAATATTTTTTTGAGGATAAATCGGGTGCTAAAAGCGTGACAAGCGTGACGCGACGTTACGAAACAGCGTGACTCGCTCTTTTTNTCCAGCGCCAAATCATGCCTTTTCCTCTCAGCGGCTAATTCTCCGCTTTTGTCGCCTCTGACCAATCTATCCAAATACTGACCACTATAATTAGCTCCAATGAATGCTAAAGCTGCAACAATTCCACCTGCGACCACGCTAGCCATTTATACATTAGGAATGTACTTTTCCTTCTGTAAGTAGTCCTTAAGGGCAATGCTGCCTGCTACGGCAGTGGTCATCTTAGCAATGCTCTTGCTTGGGTCTTCGGTAAACTCTTCTTTGAGCACCTTCTTACCTACCCAACCAATACCCGCAACGATGGAAGTAATAATAGCAGCCTCTTCAACAGTTTTCAATATCGCAGATGACATTATATTGTATCCTTAGAAGGTTTTCCAATCTCCTTAAAGGGCCCGTCCCGGCGAAAAATGCGGGTTTTTTAAACAAGCTGTGGAAATGTGTCTTAACACATATTCAGCCTTTTTTGGCTTGTTTTTTTATTTTTTTCAGTGTTTTAGGGGTAGTAAAGTCGAATTTTTCGACTTCCATGCAAAAAAGTTTCGTATTTCACTCACGTGATCTTACGACGTCACACGTGTGTTGAGCTACAGTGTTGATCCTACTTACTTCAATAGCTTGTATCGAAACATGTCTAGTACGGAGGAAAGTGATTCTTGCAATGTTAGCTCTAGTTTAAGTTATAGCAGTTCCGGTTCAGATGGATCTGAAATGCTCGATGATGAGGGGGAGGGAAATGTTATTCAACCATGACGTTTTGAACCGGTGGGTCGAAGACGACGGGAAGCTAAAGGAAACAACAACAACAGCAATGAAGACGATCAGCAGGAGCGACTTGAAAACAGTGAATGGTGAGAATTACGTTTTGTTATAAATTTACTTTCACTTTCGCTCGATTAATTCAGGAATTGATCGTCTTTACTTATTAGGTGTACTTGCGAAAATTGCCAAATAATGGATAGAGCTGTAGAGTGTAAGTGTTGTCAGGAGATCGCCCAAGTTAAAGCGAAGCTTCGTGAGGCAGTCGAAGTGGATGGCTTGAAAGAGGAGCCGGCCTGTATTACCTCCCATCCTGGCTTCCTAGCCGTTTGTACGAACCGATGGGTTCTTCAAGCGGCTTGGTATCAATACAGGCCGCATTACGGTGGTAATGCAGCTGAGGTTCCTCTTCATAAGCGGAATCGACATATTGCCTACCGGCAACTAGTTCGCTGGTGTTGGGGCATTCTGGGCAAAGAAATACGAATTGTTCTCCCTTCATGCACTGTCAGGTGTATTAGAGCTCATTTTCCTCCCCCAGGTTTGGAAGAAGATTTTGTATTTACTGGTTTTAAATATGCAGATGAATAGTTGTAACTTG